ACCTCACCTCGCACCCACGCAGCAGGAAGACTGTTAGAAGAGCTGTGCGGTGTCACAGACCCATTTTACAGACAGGCAAAGTGAGGCCAAGTGCCTGGAGGCGAGACCCTGAGCTTCCCGGGGGGCAGCGACATGCACGAGCTGCAGCCAACCCCGGGGTGAAGCGTGGGTCCGCACGGGCATCCCCGGGCAGCCCCGCTCTGACCGCAAGGAGCACAGGAACCGCATGCGCATGCGCGAGAGACCCACCACGCTGCTTTCCCTGTAGGAAGGAAGCGTTCGGAGCCGCCAGCCAATCAGAATGAAAGCGGGCCAGCATGTCACGCCGCAGTGCCCTACCCCGGATGCGGATGCCCACCCTGCGGAAGGAGCATACCATAGAGAGGGCGGCTAGCGGGGTAGTTTCCTGCCACCCCTCCTGCCGCTCGGAGGACAAACTCTATGATTCTTTTGTCTCCCCTGCTCCCTGGAGCTGGCTGTGCAGGGGCTAGGGGCGCTGGAGCGGGCATCGCCTCTACAAACGGGTTGCAACCGAGCTGAGCGCTCTGCCTGCTGGGGAGGGGGCGTTTTGCAAGGCCAGCTCTGAGGGGGCTGCTAGGGTTGCAGTTTGAGCATGCATATGCAATTGCAGGGGGCTCTGCTGGCTGCCCCCCCTCCCCGGCCCCATGCCTGGCCTGATGCAAACCCCCTTTCCCATTAAACATCATCAGTCGCCTTCCTGGCAGCAGGGCAGAGCTTGGAGGCAGGAGCTGTCGGTAGCAGCCCAATGTCCCCAAACCGCCTGGGCCGTCTGTGCCACCGCACGGGTGTTTCAAGCCAGGCTGTCAGCCCTGCCTGCGAAACACGCTGGGGATTTGTTACCTTCAAGGGATCGCTGCCCACCGGGACGAAGTTTAAGCCTCGCTTAGAAAGGGAGGCCACTAAAGCAACAGCTACTTTCTTGGGACAAAAGGAAGGGAAACTGGGGATGAGGGCGATGGGCCTGAGTGCACCAAGGGGAGGCCACACTGGGCAGGGCCCACTGGTGCTCAAACGAGTCCAAAGAGCCAGTGGACGTGGCCCAGTGAAACTGCCCGAAATGTCAGTGGAGCAAGGACAGGAAAAGAGCCCCACCGTCGACCACGTAGGGGAGCAGGAGGCACTGGCGCTGTTACTGAAGAGCTGCCGGTGTACAGAAGCTTGCCCCGTAAACCAGGCGGGAGGAAGAGAACGGTCCGAGTGTGCTGGGCCTTTCACGCCTTTTGCCATGGCTGCCATGTAAAGAGATAGGAAGGAAGGGAGTGGGGAACAGAGTGGGTGATGGCACAGAGAAGATCAACCAGGCAAGGACACTGTGCCCGACCCCCCATGGGAACGTGAAAGAGTTTTTAAGGAAGGAAAGAGAGAGGACGGTCGCTTCAGGCAGTTGCCTCCTACAAGCATACCTTGGCAAGCGGGGACGCTAACAAGCCATAGCTCATCTCTTCCCCATTTCTACTCAGGGCCAGGTGAAAGCTACTGAGAAGGGAGTGCCGCATGTCTAGGGGAGGTGCAGGCTGTTGCCCGCTGCTGGTCAGGAAAGTACGGGACGTGCCGTGCTCAGGACTGGGAAGAGGTTGGAGCTGCAGTTCTAAAATTGTGCCACCATCTCAGCCAAACCTGTAGCAAGCCAGTCAGCAGCTACGTTGATGCATTATTGCTGACGTCTATGTGTATTGCGCTGAAACAAGGCAGCGTAGTCTTAGGCAGCTGGTGTGCAGTGACCACTGCTTATTAGAGTGACCATAACTAGCTCTCCGTTGCTTTCCATCTCCCACCTGTGTTACCGCTCGGTATTCTCTTGGCATCTACTTGGACTCTAAACTCTGTCTTGCTCTCTGTGTAGGTGAGCGTTTGCACGCGTGCACGTGAGGCCCCAGTCTCAGCTGGTACACTCAGGCAGTATCTCCACGCAAAAAATAAAAAACAATAATTGCTGAAAGGCTTTCAGCCTGCCATAGCAACATGTGAGAAGCTGGAAATCTTGCCCCCTTTTTCGTGTTGGCATTGTAGAAATGTCTTTATTCCTTGAGAACTCCCGATGGGGACATCTTTATTTACACGTTGCACGCCCAGTCAATATTGATACAGCTGCACGTGATTTTCCTAAACCATCTATGGGTAACAGTGCAAACAGACCAGCCTGGCTATTCTACTCAAGCTGTCTATTTTACTGGGGAGTGAGAAATGGATAAGCAAACATGGTGACCAGCATTTCAGACACAGATATAGACAAAGGAGCTCTAAATATAGTGACAGACCCCGGGCCACACTAGAACTGTGTGATTTCTTGCTTGGAAGTTTACAGCATGAGCTGGGTTAGAACTCATATCCTTCCCCATCCAAAAGCATAACCCACTGCCATGATCCCACCAAGGGTCAGGAAACAGTTTCAATTGCAAGCAATAGAGGACGGTAGCAGACACATCCATGAATTAATTCACTGAAACATGGCTTTGGCCTTGTGAATGCCATCATTTCCATGATTCATGCAAAGATTTTCAGAAACTGGGAAGAATCAATTCCAATCATAATCAGGTAATGTTATTTAGTGCTTTGTGTCTTTTATCTTCTAAATTATCAGTATGGGAAGATCCTGAACAGCAGAGAAATAGCAGCCTGCTTTCAACTACAATGCAAACAGACCTTTTCACTGCAATGGGGTGTGCATAGCAATTGGGTGGTTTCTCTTTAAACGATGTGTGAGACATTGTAGAGATTCTCATTATGTTCCTTGTTTTAAAATGCTACCAGCAAAGGAATGTAAATATAGCCAGGCCTTCTACGGTGTGTACACTGAGTACACGCAGGTGTTTGGACTCCACTGTGCTCATGTGGCTTTTCTTCTATTACTGTTCCATAAAGGGGAAAAGACACAATACTGTGTTTTGGCTCTTGCCTATAATTCTAATTAAATCACGCCCTACTCTACTTTGCTACACACTGAGCCCTCAGACTATGATCGTGGGAAGCTAATTTTATAGCTGTAAAACTAAAACCCCATTAAAAATCCTTTAGAAATCCAGTCAGTCAAGAACCAGGGTTGGTATAAAATAGGAGTGTAGATCACAAATATGCTGCTAATACTTACCTAGGGACTTCCGCGTCTCTCCTTTTTGCCTGTGGTAAACTGATCCTGTTTGAATTGTGCACTCCCACAGAGAGGGAGCAGGAAATAGTGCCATGTGTCTGAAATAAAGAAATGCTCTCCTCTAACCCCTTCAAAACCAAAGTATGTACCAAAAAACCAAAATCGCAAGGCAAAGAAATTTACATCAAACATCACGGGACTCTTCAGTCCGGAAAAATGCAGGCTCAGGGGGAACCTGGTGGTTACCTATAAGTACACAAGGGGTGTTCATCAGGATCTGGGAGAATGTCTGTTCACCAGAGCGCCCCAAGGAAAAACAAGGACCAACGGTCATAAACTCCTACAAGACCGTTTTAGGCTGGACATAAGAACAAATTTCTTTACTGTCCGAGCCCCTGAGACCTGGAATAGACTTCCTCCAGATGTGGTGCAGGCACCTACTCTGGACTAATTCAAGAAACGCTCGGATGCTTATCTTGCTGGGGTCCCCAGCTGACTTCCTGCCCTTGGGGCAGGGGGCTGGACTTGATGATCTTTGAGGTCCCATCCAGCCCTAATGTCTATGAAATCTATGAAAATCACTTTGCTGAAAATGTTTACATTTTATGCCTGTAAATCTACAAAGCATTTGGTAGAGTGATTGATAGGAAATGTATGCATAGGTATGGTATGTATGTACCCGATTCAATGGATTTGGATTTCTGTGAAAGCTTTTTGAACATACTATTCCCTCTCCATCATCTGATATGTTGCAAATAGAAGAACTTTGCCCTTCCGATATATTTTTATGCATACCAGGGAAGAGAGAGAGAAGCTACCCTTCCCTCTTCCACTTGCCACGAATTCAGTCACTGATAGCAGGGGTGCTATATGGAGGTCAGATTCTTCTCTTCTATTCAGCACTGGCGAAGCTTCACTGGGAGAACTTGCCATTGAATTTCTAGAAAGAGATGGACAAAAAGGAAAGAACCCAGTGGAGAGTAACTAAAGTAATTAGAGGTCTTGAAAAAAATGGCATATAAGGGAAGGTTGGAAGAATTGGAATAATCTACTCCAGAGAAGAGTGAGGGGGGATCTGGTAGTCTTCAAATACATGAAGGGTAGTTATAAAGAGGATGGTGAGCAACTTTCAGATGATCACAGAAAAGTAATGGGATTACACTACAAGGAAGAGGATCATAAGGGAGGACTGGAAGGGATCTCATGAGGTCACCTAGGTCCAGCTCCCTGTTCAAAGCAGGATCATCCCTGACTAAACCATCCCACCCAAGTGTCTGTCCAATCTGCTCTTGAAAATTCCCAAAGATGGAGATTGCACGGTTTATCTGGGTAGCCTGTTCCAATATCTGACCACTCGCAGAGTCAGAAAGTTCCTTCTAATTTCCAACCTAGGTTTCCTATACTTCCGTTTGAAGCCATTACTCCTAGTCCGGTCCCTTATGACCACAGAGAATAGCCCATCTCCATCCTCTCTATCATCACTCTTTTGGTATTTTGAAGGCTGTTACCAAATGCCCCCTCCGCCCCAGACATCTTTTCTCTTTGCCAGAGCAAATAATGCAAGCTCTCTGAACTGTCTGTCATAAGTCATGCTTTCCAGGTCTCTAATCATTTTTGCCGCTCTCTGCTGGACTCCTCCTAATCTATCCCTTTCCTTCTTAAAGTGCAGGGCCAAAACTGGACACAGAACTCCAGGTAAGGCCTCAAAAAAGGCTGAATAGAGCAAAAGAATCACTTCTTTTGATTGGCAAATGACACTCCTGTTAGTATAACCCAGTACGCTGCTGGCCTTTTTTTCAATAAAAGCACACTGTTGGCTTATGTTTGGCTTCAGTTAGGTTGTATATCATGAAGAGCTTTTGAAATATGAGGAGTGCCCAAGCTGAGATACCTGCGACCAGATTTCTAGAGGTGTTGAGGGCTCCCTACTCCAACTGCTCTCAGTAAATGGAGGCAACCATGGCCAAAGGCCACTTCTCCATATTTTTGCCTGGACCTCAGTTTCACTGTTTGTCAGACAGAGGTAGGAATGCTTGACCACCTTCACATATTGCTTGGAGACCCATGAGTGAAGGACACTACATCCAAGTTAAGTATTTAATGTTTGCCGACTCCTCCTTTTACAAGGCCCTGGGGAACGGAAAATGTCCGGATGGGCACTAAGAGGTGGCCGTTGTGCTGCAGGGTCCAATGTCAACAGCAGCCATTCAAAAGGAGTTTGACCGCTCGTTCAATTTGGCCTTGTAAGAGTCCGTCTTTATTGTCTCTAACAGCAGCTTCACCAGTTCCGTTTTCCCCCTGGCGACCATCGCTTTGGCGAGTTCAATCACCTCTGACATGTGGTTTCGCCAGACCAGCCTCAGCTCCTGTTGGACACACCGCTTCAGGTACTTCTCCTCGGCCTTCTTTACCCACAGCTCCACCTCCTGCATCAGCATCTCAGCATTCACCTGCTTCTGACCAAACAGCATGAGGAGCGTCTCCATCAGGCACCGGAAGCTCTCTGTGTTAGCTGAGCCCACATCGTCCAGTTCTATTGCTCGCTTGAAGCACTTAATGGCATTTGACTCTTCATTTTTAAGCCTCAAGCACTTCCCCCGGAGCAGCTGTATTCCGGGTAACACATCCCCCAGGTCAAACTCCATGGCTTTAGCGAGGAATACCAGTGCATTGTTCAGTGCGTTTTCATCCACTGGGAACAGTTCCTGCATGGCATCCACACCCATGTAATAATAGACCTATGAGGACAAAAGGCAAAATAGTAGTACTCTCACAACCACCGTTACAAGGCAAACTCCAGAGACTTTTACAGTTACAGCCTGATCCCAAAAGGTCAAAAGTCCAGCTGGGCCTAGCAGCCCACTGGGCTGGTGTGATTCAGGCAGGACAACTGCACAGGGGAGTTATATGGCCAGCATCACATCTGGCTGCCTTTGACTACAAGCCCAAATGACAATCTACAGCTGGAGGCAGCCTTCAATGTGTACCCAGTGGGTGGCTTGGTAGCAAGTTGGTGGGGCTGTAGCAAGACACCTTAAAAGTGCTCTGCCACCGCACCTTAGGCCACCTGGTATCATCAGTGATCACACTAAAATTTATGGCATCATTTGGGGGATCTGCCACATGGTCAGCCAGAGACTGGGTACAGCAGAGTCAGGGACCAGGGCCATTATATTGACACTACACCCAGTCACTCTTTGACCACAACAGTTTTAACTTCCTCCATTTCCAGCCCTTTCACTATTGACTCAAACAGTTGTAACAGAGCTCTCAGTGTTTGTACCTTCTCTGTTGCTCTTGTTTCTTTAAGTACCAAATGTAAATAAGAAGACAATGGTGCTGAAAGCAGGAGGCGTTGCCCTCGTTGGAAGAGGAGAGCACATGGGCATTTACTCACCTGGCCAATGTCAAGGTATAGCTTCAGGCACGGGCACACCTGTACCACACTTTCCAGATCCTCTTTAGCACTGGTGAGATGTTTCCTGTCTGGCATTCCTCCCAAACCCAACTTTGCACGTTCCAGGTCTTGCAGATAGAGCTTAAGGTGGATCTAGCAATGGGAGGAAGCACAGTAGCTCAGTTTGGGACATCTGTGTTTTCAGCTTTCTGCCACCTGACACCATATTTGGAGTTCTATAGTTTTGGTGGGCTGATTTAAATTGCAGTTATGTTAGACCAAAGACTTTGAATGAGTCAGGCCAGACTTGCCATTAGGGCAGGGGTGGGCAAAATGCAGCCTGCGGGCCAGATGTGACCCACCAGGCCATTCTATCCGGCCCGTGAGGCCCCTAAAAAAATGTAGAAAATTAAAGGTTATCTGCCCCTGGCTGCCTGCCATGCGGCCCTCGATGGCTTGCCAGAACTCAGTAAGTGGCCCTCCGCCTGAAATAATTGCCCACCCCTGCATTAGGGTAAAGCAGTGCAAATCCCCGTTACTTACACCAGCTGAGGAAATAGCTATTTTGCCACGAAGGTATCCAAGTGTCTAAAACAACATACTCCTAAAACCTGCCAGAGACATGTTTGAAATTTCCCTTTGCAGTAATCAGTGCCTATTAATCTGTGTATTTTAACTACTGAATAGGAACTGAAGGTGGCCTGCCCCTCAGTTGTATGTTCTTATCTGCCTTTATTTGTACTGCTTCATGTCTTTGACTATGCAAAGAGTTTTGCCTCAGTAAGAGCTGCAGAAATGATCACTTGAGAGATTTCAGATTGAAGTCTAAGATACAAACTGGCTTTCAGGAACCTTTCTAATGCTACATTTTTCAGTTTCACGCCCACTGCTGAAGTTTGAGAGAAGCTCTTTTGAAGGACAGGTTTAACCCCATATTCAAGATAGCCAAGATAGGCTGAGAATTCGCTTCTGTTGCAATTGATTTCTTAAGGCATCTTTATGTAAAAGTAATAAAGTGAGATTTCACTTTATGTTTATTTAAGGTTATCTTTGCAACTGATATTATTGGAAATATGCAGTACACAACAGTTCTGTTTGCATGAGGTTAGAAAGTGTCATCAATGCCATTTCACAAATGGGAGAAACTGAGCCCTGGAGTGATGAACTGTGAAAGTTTTAAATGACTTTAAATGATCCTAAATGACTTAGGAGCCTAAAACTCATTACAAGTCAGTAGGAGTTAGGTACCTAAGTACCGAAGTCACTTCCATCGATGGGACTTGACCCCCATAAATCCCTTAGGACTCAAGTGGCTTGTCCATTGCTAAGCTGTTGGTGCCAAAGCTAGGATTTCAACCCACATCTCCCGACACCTTAACTCAGGTGAAGGCACTTAGTGCCTTGGCTATAGTTCCCACAAGTCAGTGGAACATTGGTTCCATAGCTCCCCCCCAGGGCAGCTTAAAATGCAAAGGAGCATTTAATTAATTTCTCACATTACACCCCACACTGCTTAACTTTAAGCATATGTGTAATTGCACCTCGTTCAACAAAGCACTTCAGCACATGCTTAACTTTAAGCATATGAATGACTCCATGATATGTACCTAGTGCAGCTGTGTCTGGGCAGAACAAGGGAGGCAAGGAAATGAACAACCCTTCCCCCACTGCTAAACCTCTTTAGCCAGTCAACAGCCTTTGAGTCAGTGCTGTTTTGTGTCCGAGTCAAACAGGGAGCGCAACTTGGAAAAATCAGCTGCCTGCAAGCGTGCAGCAGCCTCCATGAGCGTGCCCTGGGCTGGCCTAGTGCTCCAGCATGCCTGGCCTTGGCCAAACCACACCTAAACTTGTAACGCTTGCTCTAGAGCAGCGGTTCTGAACCGGGGGTACATGTACCCCCAGGGGGGTACACGAAATATATTTCATACATTGTCTAACACAGGTCGAAGGGCCTAAAAAAAGTCTTGACAATTTGAAACTGCTGTAAAATGCGCATGTGCGTGGGATTACACGTAGTTTGACATAAAAATTAATTTCCCATTGAAAGAGGGTACGTGAAGTCTCACTCTGACACCAAGGGGTACGTCGACTGAAAAAGGTTCAGAACCGCTGCTCTAGAGGCAGCATGGGAATGCAAAGCCGGGTAGCTGTTCATGCAGCCTGGAGATGCCGTGGCTGTTCCTGGTCGGCACAGAGGCTATCTCCCGTTCTCTCTGCACAGTTAGCTATTGATGTTCTCAGCTAGGTGGGGAGCGTGCAGCACTGTTCAGATAGGGCTTCTACTGTATAGACAGGAGTGGGGCGGGTCCCCAGGGTTCTTCAACAGTGGCAAATGTGGCCTTTGCTTAACAGTCTTGTCTGAATAGCAGAGAGCAATTCCTGAAGCAGGCAGTGTTTGTGTGCTGGCCCCTCAAGTGCACCTCCCCACTTTGTCTAGGAGGCAGCTCCAGCTCATTGCCTACTGCTCTGTGGTAGTGAGGCAATAGCTGTATGTGGTATTTCTGAAACAGCTTCACTTGAATCCTTGGGACAACTCACATGCTTAACCACGTGCCCAAGTGCTTTGCTGTACTGGGGCCTTGCGTTCTAGTAGGAACTTTCTGACTCTGAGGGTGATCAGACATTGGGACAGGCTACCCAGAGACATCCTGGAGTCTCCATTCTTGGAAGTTTTCAAGAGCAGGTTGGACAGACACTTGGCTGGGATGGTTTAGTCAGGGATGATCTTGCCTTGACCAGGGGGCTAAACTCGATGACCTTGTGAGGTCCCTTCTAGGCCTACTTTTCTGTAACCCTAACCTGTAGGACAAGGTTGGATATTCCACTGGGCTTTCCAGGATCAGCTACGAAGTCTGAGCCAGGTGCCAGAAGACAGAGGGCTGCATTGTTTTAGTGACTCCAGAAACCAAGTGGACATGGCCACCAAAGCCACAGTGACTGCAGTGGAAGTTCCTGAGACTCTGGAAAGTTTAGTGTCACCTCAAATTTTGTGCAGATGATGCAGTGGCTAAAAACATTGCCCTGGCCCAGACCATGGCAGAGGGTGGAGCTACTCTGTTCAAATTGCACCGTTTGCATTTGGAGACATTGATTTCAGTGGTGAGTGACCTACCTTGGCCCGCGTGCAGTATGCCTGCCAGTTGAGCTCTGGATCCTGAACAACATTTAGTGCCATGTTGCAGATCCCCATGGCCATTTCTTGCTTGCCTCTGAAGTGGAAGATCTTTGCCAGGCGGTTTAGTGTGGCTGGATTGTCTTCTGCTATTTCTATCGCCTTCGAAAAGCAGAGAAAGCAAAACACATTGCCATGAGTGACTTACCATCTTGTGCACTGAGCCACAAAACACTTTTCATTGTACTGGATAATCTGTCTTATGCACCAGCACAGCTGCTTGTTGAAGCAGACAAAAGTATAAGGGGTCCAAGAAATGCCTGGCCTAAGCCTTTTCCCATCCCAGCAACTGTAGCCCTTGAACAAACCAACCTACATCCATCTGAGGTTACTGGGCAGCACTAGGTAGCAGCTCCATTGCCTTCACTGACGCTAAGCTGGTTCACACCAGCTGGAAGCTGTCCTGCATTTTGAAAGCAATCCTGTTTGCATAGGTAGTACTGAGATCTTTAAGCTGTGCTGGCCTTCCCTGTATTGTGAGCTGCCTCTGAGTAGGGGGAATGGAGGGATGCAGGCAGGGAAGGGGAGTGAAGGGAAAGGCAGGATAGAGGTGAGTGGGAAGGTCAGGGCAGCAGGGGCTTCCCCACACTTGATGTTTGCATGGTGGCACTGACCTTGCCAAAGCAGTCGAGAGGATCGGCCCCAGAGTAGCCACAGTCATGGATACCCATGGGAGTGGTTGAAAAGGTTTCTTTCTTTTCCAGCAGCATCCCGAGGTAGCACCAGGCCAGAGCTAGGGGAGCAGCATTCAGAGCAGGTTAGCAGTGGAGCCACTTCATGCTCAAACCTCCCCACCCTGAGCAGCCAAGCTGAAGAGGAGGTGCCAGTTTGGAAACAGGTCTTGGCTAAGGAGCCTTGGCAGAGAGACGCGTTTCCCCATGGAGCTATTTCCAGCCAGCTCAGCATTTCTGGGACATGTTTAACTGGGAAGGTGGCAGCCCACAGTGCTGTGTTAATCCACACGTAGAGTGACTCTGGCTTCCCCCACTCTGCCCTACCCTTCAGCTCCCAGCCTGCCCTGGATCCTGACAGAGGAGGAGAGGAAGTGATTGCTCTCACAGCTGATCCACTTCTGGGATCCTTTGGAATTAGCAACTGATCCATTGGGTTTTTTTAAAAGAAAATATTTCCATGGCTCCTGCAGAGCAGGAAGCAGAGCAAGGCCATCAATTCAGTTCCCATGGGATTTCCTGATATCCATGACATTGGCTCTAAATTGGTAAGGGACCAAGGACATGACTAAGTACATAACCGAGCCCTAATCCCTTCAGTGAGATTAGCCACATGCTTGACTGTAGCACCCTGCCGATCCAGGCCCTAAGCAGAGACCAGGGATGGGACTCAGAGAGGCTCAGCACTCCTGAAAAGAAGTCCCCATTGATGTTGCTGGCAGGCGGGCTTGAAAGCCAGCAGGTCTGGGAGGCATTTCTCATGAGGAGCTCTGGAGTTTGCCTACAACAAGCAGCTTCCCCTACCTCGGTAGTGAGAACTGGGGGACTTGATGACTTGTCGAAGCAGGCCCACGGTCCTGTTGTAGGCAGGCAGCCTCTTCTGCTCGTCATTCTCCTGGTTCATCAGGATCCCATCTCGCCTGTCACAAGAGTGCCAGAGGTGGGCTCAGTTGCTCTTCTAGATGCCCAGCCCCCTGTACCCAACATGACTGCTTCCCTTACCAGCTAGTGGCTGGGTGGCTCAGTGTTGAGCTATGCTTTGGTGGTCTGTGCTTCAACAGGCTGTTGCCTAGTAGCTTGCATGTATTAATTAGGCTTTGCAGTTACACTGGAAATAGTGGAGTGTAACTGCACTAAGGCTGGCAAAGATGGGTACTGTTGTCATAATTTTTCCTACGTTGCAGTTTCACGTCCCTCCTCCTAACTTGCCTGGATCACTGTATCCCCCTGAGCCAGACTTGGCTTTTTGAACACCCTTTCTACAGCTCCAGAAGAAGCAAAAAAACCCAACCCCAAACACCACAAAAAAAATCACAAAACAAGCATCTGACCCCAGCAGTCTTTCCTGCCCAAGTGCAGGGGGGTTGAACCCGATGATCTTGTGAGGTCCCTTCCAGCCCCTAACATCTATGTTCTGTGAGGTTATTGCAGCTCAGGGCCAGGTACTCTGTACCTTACCTGATGTACAGGGTGGCCATGGTGAAGTACCAGCTTCTTTTCTCCTCTAAAGGGATCTGAAATGGGGAAAGGTTGGGAGGAAATACAGTATTAACACCTAAACATCATCTGAAGGAGTCAAGTGGCCTATGAGAAGAAAAGATGGCCATGGGGAAGAAGGACACGCACTCTGCCTGGGCAAGTAATTTTCCAAATACTTTGTATTCAGTACTATGAGGCCCTGGGCCAGATCCTCAGCTTCTTGTAGCTCCACTGAAGCTCCCTGAGCTTTTTAACCAAGGCGAAACTTGACACAAAGGCTCCCTCCTAACCAGACATGACCCCTTGCACAGCCCTTCCTCTGATCGTGCTGTGCAAACATCTTCCCTTTCACACTGCTCTGCAGGTCCCCCAGTGCATGCTTTCATCTACCAGTCCCATAGCGTGTCACAGACATGAATGAACTAACCCTGGGCACCCTTGGAGGTCTTGTCAGCAGGTGACTACTTCAGAGTCTAGTGGCTTGAGCTGTGACTGGAAGTCAGATTTGGCTTCTGACCCAGCCAATGCCTTGCTGGCTGGGTTAGGGCACAGCTCGTTCTCACATTAATGCTGGTGCAGCTTTGAGCCCTATAAAACAGAGGAAAATTGCTGCATAAACCTAATGCACTAATCAGTCCTTTTTAAAGAAGGAGAAGCTGACAGTAGTTTTGTCGCTCGTCCAAGTTAGTGGCAGACTTGGGAATAGGATCCAGGAGTTTCTGGTTGCATGCCATCCAGGTCTCTGTGCTACCAAGTAGAAGATACTCCCCCCCTGCAAGCAGCTTTCCTCCTTGACACAAATTGGCTTCTCATTTTTCTTTATTCTGAGGCCAGGCTAAACCACTCCAGCCACAGGGTGCATGATTTGCTACCACTGACTTTTCCATGCAGGTAGGGTCCATATCAAAACAAGTCTGTCCTATCTTGTTCTTGGGTTCACTACCACGTTTAAACAAGGTAAGTAGCTTCCTCACTACTTGAGGAAGCTCAACAAGAAGCTTGAGAGAGTCCAGAGAAGAGCCACGCGCATGATCAGAGGTCAGGGAAGCTGGCCCTACGATGACAGGCTGAGAGCCCTGGGGCTCTTTAGCCTGGAAAAGCGCAGGCTCAGGGGTGATCTGATGGCCACCTACAAGTTTATCAGGGGTGACCACCAGCATCTGGGGGAACGTTTGTTCACCAGAGCGCCCCAAGGGATGACGAGGTCGAATGGTCACAAACTACTTCAAGATCGTTTCAGGCTGGACATAAGGAAGAACTTCTTTACTGTCTGAGCCCCCAAGGTCTGGAACAGCCTGCCACCGGAGGTGGTTCAAGCGCCTTCATTGAACACCTTCAAGATGAAACTGGATGCTTATCTTGCTGGGATCCTATGACCCCAGCTGACTTCCTGCCCTTTGGGCGGGGGGCTGGACTCGATGATCTTCCGAGGTCCCTTCCAGCCCTAATGTCTATGAAATCTATGAAATCTCACGCTCTGGCAGCCACAGGGAGATCAGGTTTGGCAGGTGCTTTGTGGTGGATCCCTTTCACTCTCCCTAGAGCAATGTTTCTCAACCTGTGGGTCATGTCCCAAAAGTGGGTTGCAAGAATATATGAAAGGGTCGTGACCAAACTTTAAAATTGGATCAAACTTTAAAAATAGATTCTTTAAAGAAGAAAAACATGGGAAACCATAGCTTTTCCCTTGCAGGCTGGCTCAGTTCCAGCCTGCAAGGGGCTGCTGAGGGCCCCCCATACCTTATACACCACCCCCTGCCCCACACACTTGGGAGCTGAGACCTGGGGGTGGGGGGCAACGGGTCAAGAGTGAGGGGCACCAGCAGGGCCAGGGGGCTAAACTATTTACTGGGTCAGGACTGGCCATTGGTGTGTAGAAATGGGTCCTGGTACAAAAAAAGGTTGAGAACCACTGCCCTAGAGGATGCATTCAGTTGGGAGTTGCATAGGACAGAGCACTGGGTGAGTCTGGGGAAAGGGCCTCTCCCAAGACAGATTGATTTCTTTGGGGTTTTCCCCCATGAGACACCTTCAGTGGGATGATTTGCCTGAAGCATGGGCTTGGCTAGCAGAACTCAGTCCTGTTAGTGTCCTGAAAGAAAATCAGACCTTTTTGCTGACCTGATGCTCCTGGTTCTGCTGCTGCCTTAGGAGACATCCGCCCTGCCTTTTACACTCTCACAATAAATAAAACTGCCTCTCAACCCAAGTGCTTCACCTGAGCAAACTGACTTCCATACCAGTCACCTGCTTTTTATGAGCCCCTGTAGAGCCACCATGCTCAGAGTATGCAGGACACACCTTTGTTTGAACAACTAGAAAAGATGTGGGTGGAATCATAAACCACCCTCAGTCCTGATTACCTGGAAAGGATGTTTCAGTTTTCCATGTGCTGCAGAATTGTGCTGCCTTTTCAGCAGAACCTGCTCACCTCTGCATTGTCTTACCGGCTTGCAGGGTTCATCTCACTGAGATTCCCCATTTGAAATGACCCAACACTGGGGAGAGTGGAAAGCCGATAGAGAAGTGATTCCCAGAGCTTCTCCCTGGTGTTAACACTCTCTGAGCATAATGTTTGCCTTCCTGATCATACAAGACATCAGCCAGCAGCTGGTCATTTGGTGCATGCAGCACCAAACACTTTACTGTTCTGCCCAAAGAACCTATGGCGATACCTGGCAAACACAACGAGTGACACTAAACAGCAGGCTGCACGCGATTACTGACCTGCTGCCCGTAAGTCAGAGCCTTGTTATACAGCAGGATGCCAGAGGTCAGCTTCTCTATCCTGTCTTCATCACTGACGAGCCCCACATCGAAGGCATATGCATAGCCCTGCTCTGCCAAGCAGCGGGCTGCTCTCAGCCTGGCATCCCCCTGGGACACGTCTTTGGAGGCCAGGCCCATGAGGTGGGAGAGTTTCTCAGTGCATTCTGCCTCTTCTTCCTCACTGCTTAGCCGGTCGTACACGTAGGCCAGGTTGGCCCAGGCGTTGAGATTGCCAGGGTCCTCCTGGGTGATGCCGAGGAAAATCTCCTTGGCTGACTCTGTTTCCTCCAGGTGGAAAGAGAAGACCCCAAGGAGGTTCCTGATGGCATACTGCAAGGCGCCAGCCTCAAACTCCAGCTCAGATATGAGGCTCTCTTTCTTGAGCTTCATTTCTCTTTCTCTCAAATTCACAGGGGAGCTGGGCTCAAAGTTCAGGTTCATCTCTAGGTGGAAGTGACCAGGAAGATACTCCAGGTCATTGAGGAGCATGTCTATATCCACCTCCGATTCCTCCGTGCTCTCCATGGCGAATGCCGTTGGGTCTATCCCGAAGCAGCGCTCCCGTCCCTCCCAACCTTTTCTTCTTCTCAGAGCCAATTTGCCTGTCTGTTGACCTGCTATTCTGGTTTAGCTGATTCACAGGCAGCTTGGGAGGAGTCCTGTCTGGGAGAGGCAGTGCAGGACGCTTGCTGTTCCCTGTGTGTCTGCTTGTTCAGGGCTGTCCTGGAGCCCAGCAAATCACAGGATGCCAAGACGGAAAAGTCTCGCTGGGTCTGTAGTAGCTCCCCCTGTGCACGCCATCAGGATCAGTCGGCCAAAGGTTGCCTTGTATTTCTCTCCCTGTCACAAAACGTCTTTGAAAATAAACAGGTTGAGGCCAAATTTCATTTCAAACACTGTCCACGCTGATCACCACTAGCCAGGTGCAGTTGAGGGCTGCGAGTTCTGGATGCACGTGGTCTTCGGCAGCCACTGTGAAGAGGGAGTAGAGAAAGGGCTGGTCTGCACTCACACGGTTCCTCCCTGCAGCAGCCTAGAAGAGAGCTAGCCCCCACCGGCATCAGCAACGGAGCAGCGGCCTAACTCAGCCGCTTGGTGTGGACGAGTGGACCGTGACTTACCACTCAGTGGGGTGCAAGTGGCATCAGGGCGGACTCCTCCATGGGAATGCAAGAGTGGAGGGGATCCTAATACTGTCCCACCCCGTGGTGAGGCCGACTGTAGTCAGAGAAAAAGTGGCACCTCTGTACCCTTGTAGCACGGCTAACGGGTGACCCTCCACACATCTGTTCAGATGGGCAGAGGTACCTGAGCCTGCCAACGCAGCTGGACAATTCTTACAAAAAACACGGTCTAAAATGTGCTCAGCAATAAGGGTTTGGTCCCAATCCAGACTCTGGATTCTGGCTGTCGGCCTGGATCTCTGCTTTGGAGCAATGTGGATCAGAAGGGATTGGACAGGGACGATGTCGGGGCTCAATCTGAGGAACTCCTATTAATGATGCTGCTTTGGCTTTCCCATATTCAGAGACGGTGTTGCCCAACAAGGTGTATCTTGGCTTTCAGATCCTGGGCACACCTGACAAAAATCAAGGCATCAAGGCAAAGTGAGGGACGGAAGGGGGGATCAAAGCTACCCCGTCCCTCCCCTCCTCCCAAGGCAGGGCATGATGTGAGCTTTGACTGCCAATACTGCCCTTTGACCCGAGAGCCCACCCCCTGCACCGGGTAAGGTGCTCTGAAGCTCCGCCCCCTTCAGACACAAGGGAACAGAAGGGCACGGAGCGTCTGTCTGTGGTTGTCATGGCAGCAGAGTTCCAGAGCAGCTGGGAGCCTCGGACACCGGTCTGTGGACCAGGGAACGGGGCATGGCATCAAAGGGCTTCACAGGTGCCCCCTTTGGGACTCAGGCAGCCAGGTAAGAACCACCCATAGGAGGCTGCAGGGGGAAAGGTTTGGTCCGGCCACCGGCTGGGATTTCTAGAGTCAGGGGAGCGCTGGGGAAGAGTGCTGGGCTCAGCTCCGGCCTGATCAGCCACACACACGTTCTAACTTGTGTGGACGGCATGCATACACATTCTTGCATACAAAGGCAACAAGGACTTCTTGCACACTTGAGTCATGCACACAGCCAGCCCTTGGATTCGTGCATGCACTCATCATGCCTATGCTATTCGCATGCTCACATGTCCGTGCAGCTATGTACCAGTGGTGAAGCTGCGACAATCCAAATGGAGGAGAAAATACACCTGCCTAAAAAACACCTGGCAGAATTTGTCCAACGAGATGCTTTAAAAAATGCCTCCCCAGGAACGCACAATGATGGTGTGTCCCCTAGAGGGAAGAGATGTTGGCTGGCTTGCACATTGTTGTGCCACCACAACAGTGTCTTGCAGGTACAGTATTGGGTGACTACACTCTGAATGCCTCTGCATCAGCTAGTCCAGGTCCCTCATGTGAGAAATCCCTTGCCTTCAGAACTCAGCCCCAAGTAATCCTGCTACATTTCACAGGGCTCACGACAAGTTTAAAATGAAGCACCTACGTTGTTGAACGATCAGGCCAGAAGTCCAATAACAGAGGCTTGTTATATAATAAACACTGATGTCGGTGAGACTCTTTCCACTGACTTGAATGGGCAATGCATCAAGCCCTATGCACTTGCAAGGGCAGGCTCAGGTTTGTGGTGTTAGTCCTGCTTGCTTTGCATTGACTCAGAACACACAGGGTGTGTCTACATGTTCATCAATGCACCTTTGCTACTGCGCATTAAATTTAGTATATGAGGTACTACATAAAGGTGCATTAGGCTGCCCTACTGCGCAGTAGCAAAAGTGAATGCTTTTTTTAGTGACACTTGTCACAACCCAAAGGGTGTGATTTTTGTTTTTGTGTGCTTCCGCACTGCTAAATTGTTCCCGCTAAATTACAGCTTCCTTGCACGGTGGAGTTTTCTGCTGCAAAAGAGAACCCCGGTGCAAGGGAGAATTTCCCACCGATTTGAAGCTTTCTTTGCAGGGTGCATTTCTTTGTTGCAGCACAGAAATGCTCGTTGCAAAGAGTTCCCGCCATTTGTATGCTAATTCGAGTCCCATTATTGACCAGTTCTAAATTATTCACACGTGGCGGCTAGTGATTGGCTTGCTAGCCGTATAAAAGGCTTGAGTGGTTTCCGCCCAAGTTGGAGGACTCCACGAACAAGGGAGGAGGAGACTTCACGCTGTGTGAAGATCTCTAAGCGCTGCGGATCCTTACGGACCCAGCGCATTTCAAGCAGGCAACAGAGGTCTGATCAACCTCTAGCCTCTCCCCGTCGCCGAGCGCAGTCCAGACGTATCCCTTCCCGCGCGCAAAAGAACCGGACCCACGGAGCCTAGCAAACTTCGTGTGGAGCAGAAGGACCCACGGAGCCTAGCAAACTTCGTGTGAATCCTTGACTGATCTCAGAGCTCTTCTACCCGGGTTCGAGTCCTGCAGGTTTATTTTCCCGTCGCCGAAACCCATTGCGACGTACCCTCGTATTTTGTATCTTCCCGTCGCCGGAACCCTTTGCGACGTACCCTCGTGCCCTAAAGGTTCGAGTTTTGTTTTCTTTTCTGTCTGTAACCGCAACTCAAGCAAGTTTTCCAGCCTACACCACTGCCATCTCGGTGTAAGTAAACAATCTTTAAAACTACCGATATGCGTTTGTGCCTAATTCCAGCTTGACGGCCTTCCCTCTCCGACCCGGCGTGCCCAGGCTGCTGGCCACAGCCCACGTGCAGCGCGGAAAAGGGCTCGGGTCGCTCCCGGCCCACACAACACTTAATGCACAATAAACTATTCTATTGTGCATAAGCGCATTAGTACAGTTTATGTGCTGGTTTAGTATGCAGTAGAATAATCTACTGCACATTAAAGCGCATGTGTAGACACACCAACAGTGTACTTGCATCATCCTATCCTAGGTTTTGTGGGCCATTGACTTACTCAAAGGATAAGAGACCTAGCACCCATGCACAGAAGCCCAATGGCAAAACAGTGTCTTCAGATGTGGTGAGTCTTTTGCTGTATTATGTTCAAAGGACCTTATTATTTAAGGCTGGGATAAAAGACTGTGCAGCAGACCCGCTCTAGACAGGTACAGCTGTAGAAACTCTTCTTCCAGAGTTCAGCTGCTAAGAAAAGTCTGTGTGGCCCCATTCTGTTGATATAATAGTCTCCCTGAATCTAACTGACCCTCTCTCCCTGAGATGGGCCCGATCCTGTTTCCACTGAAGCCCTGCAAATCTCCATGATTGGGCCCTATCTAATATATCAGCCTTTTTGCTTCCTTTTCCTCCAAGTGTATCATATCAGCTAGATTTGATCTACTGGCAACTCCTTCCAAGCACAAGGAATCCTGAGAAAGACCCACAATTGGGGTAAACTGTCATTGCCCTGTTGACCTCAAGTACATGCTCTCTCTCCTGCCCTGCAAACCCTTCTTGAATGTGAATTTGTAAATGCTGTGATGAGACAATTAAGGGTCTGATCTCTCCATATAAAACTAGCATCTGTCAATGGAAAAAACCAAAAAGCATTTATTTCAGGGCAGAAACTTAGGAAGAGACTTCTCTAGGATCACCCAAACATGTTTTTTCTGCTCTGCATTTCAGGGGAAGACTTCGAGTTCAGGCTGGACGAAAGCGCAGGAAGCAGCATGGCTTTCCCAAATCCCCCATTTCCACTTTAAGGAGATATGGAAGAAAACCAAATACCTGGTGAGGCTTGGGTTTGACGCTTCCTCACTATTACTGACCAGACATCTGACTGTGTCTGGGGTTCAATCTGTGGATTGTTCACTGTGACAGTATTGATTCAAAAAGAGGAGCTGTGCCGGGCCTGGCTCTGGGGAGCTCAAAAACCTGGCTTAATACTCTACAATCCCTTTCTCACTTAGAAAGACAGACTGGGACCAGGAACTTACAACATCAAGGATTTCCTGCAAGAGACCCGGCCTTCAAGTACTAGAGGTATATGTGACACCGGAGAAGAGAGGTTTAAAGACACCATTAGGGTACGGACTGGCTTCAAGCAATAGAGATACTATGGTAACTTAGTAAGACAGGGAGGTAATGTGATGTAGAGGAGACATAGTAGGGGAAGAGAATGGGACGTCTGTCTACTTCACAGTTGCAGCAGCAATGACTGAAAGTACAGTGTGGATGTACCTGAGCCAGCTTTAAATGAACTACTTTGGGTACCAGTCTGGCCATGACAGCATAGGTTAATTTATCCTGCTTGCTGGGTGGATTCTACAATATGTGCTGAGCTCTGTGCCTTTGCAACTATCCTGCCACCAGAGCTCAAGCTAGCTCAGATATGTCTGTATGAGCTGCAGTCCCTGTATGTCCGCAGGTGGAGCTCCCACCAGGCTGGAGCCAGCTCTGCCCTGGAGCAGGGTCTTCCATGTTCCTTACTGGGAGTAGCTGTAGGTCAGTGGGACCAGACTGTGCTGCCTTTGTGTAGATGAGCCCCACAAGGAACCTTACCTACCCCCTAGGGAGCTATGCACCTCTGCAGTCCCTGGGCTCACAGCACAGCCAGTGTGTCTCCTATACAAGTGCTCATGGTAGCAGCAAGGCTGTACTTTTTATTGTGTGCTGGGCTGTTAGGGCTACGTGCGATGAAGTCTGACAATGAATCAGTTCTTTTGCTATGCTCCGACGTCTGTCTGGCTCTAGGTCAGAAATGACATTGCTATTTGTTTAATCAAATTCCCTCGCTCTCTCTTTGCGTTTCCCCCGTGCAGGATTGCTACCCTGGCCCAGGAACTTATGGCAGGAATGGAAACCCTTATGCCCTGATAGAGGAGAAGGAAACATTTTCTGCAAAATCTCAAGGGATCATGGACAGCAGAACTGCAAAATGCATCTTCCCTTCTGCAGCAGTGAGTTTGGGTTACTCATTTCCCATTCAGACCCTGGACAGACTTGTGCGAAGGCTGTTGTCTTTGGTTTGACAACGGGAAACAAAGGGAAGGCGCCATATTCTAGGCAACCCCTCCTGTACTTAGCTGCCATGTTTCTATACAGAAGGCAGCTGTTGTTCATCCCTTGCATCTTTAAAAGGGCCAGGATGGGGCCAGAGTTTCTTT